CTATCATTCATTTCATGTATATATAAATATCATAAGCATATATGTGTAATATCCAAATGCTTATATATATGTATAAGCATACACATATATAAGCATATACTTAATCACACATAGTCTAATACATTGTTTCTACTGTTATTTTGACAAACTATAATTAGATCAATTAAGAATAAGAAAAAGAAAGATTTTAATTTTACCATCACATTAATTTTCTTATACTCTTCTTTCTCTGTTTAGATCCTTCAATACTGGAGGGAACCCTTATGACTGAGTCCCTCTACAGCAGTGGTTCTCAACCTTGGCTGCACATTAGAATCACCTGGGAATCTTTTTAAAATCCTGATTTCTGGGCCTCATCCTCCAGAAATTCTGTTTCTTTGTTACTAATGTTGTGGCCCCACCCCATAACAAAGAAACAGAATTTCTGGAGGATGAGGCTCAGAAATCAGGATTTTAAAAAGATCCCCAGGTGATTCTAATGTGCAGCCAAGGTTGAGAACCACTGCTCTACAGCTTTTAACTAAGAGTTATCTACACAGAGCCTCCAGCACTTGGTCAGTTGCAGCTCATGTTTTCCTACCTGGGTGCTGGTTCCATGGATATTCCAGCTGGTGAGTCTCTGTGCTGAGAAGCTGTGATTCCCTGTATTCACCTGTCTGTCACTTCAATCTGGGGAGTAGCAGTTTTCCCTGTGTCTTCCCCTCTCTTATGAATTTCAGAAAAGTTAATACTTTTCAGTCTGTTTAGCTTTTTACTTGTTGTTAGGACATAACGGCAACTTCCGATCTCCTTATACACAAAACTAGAAACCAGAAGTAGCCTAACCTACTTCTAAAGTAATTTTGTCAATTTTACCAAGACTGTTTTTGTGGGTTACTTAATCATAAAAGCCATATAAAAGGTACTAAAATTTGTTGAATGAATGAATTGATGAAATACTTTTTATAAAGAGAAAATATATGGGAATATATGTAAAAGCTCTTGTAAACAATTGTTTATAAATCTCTAGTGCTGCAAAAACTACCAAGCACAGGTACTTTAGTTTCATTTCCTCGGGGCCACTGCACAAGTATGTGCAGGTTGTACACTGCTCAACCTGAAGGGGTGCCCTTTCCATAGGCCACCCCAGTCATAGGTGGCAGTCCTGAGAACTACATGGAGCAGCATGATATAGAACTCATGATTTCATCTCTTTATGAGGCATAAAACACCTTTCTAATGCAGGTGGATTTGGTTTTGGGTATTTCTGTGTGTGCAGATGTGCATGTCTCTGTGTTTCTTTATTTTTGCATCTCTTGATTCTGCTATTTGTGTGTTTTGATCAGATTACTAAAGAATTGGGAAGATGGTTGAGAGACAGCTAACCAGGAACTGAAAATTGAGTAAACACATCCTTCCATTATGAAAAAGGCATCACAACAAAGGATATGCTTATACATATAATTTTTAACATGAAAAAGTCACCCTTTTGTAAAATAAAATAGCTTCAGATATATATATTTAATATATTTTTTCATTTGTTATTTACTACATCCTTCTCTGAGTATAAGGAGCTATTTTAAGTACTATAGCTTCTAAGTAGTAGATTATTCTTTTTGTAAATTTAATTCAATATATTTTAATGTTTATGAAGAGGGAACATTATTGATATATTCAGTAAGTCCTGCTCCAAGTTCCCCTGCACAAGATAATTATTTGTTAAGCAAACAGCACAGTGCCCTTCACATAGTAGTTATTCAACAAACGATTTTCTTTCTCACGACCATATACAATTGTTATTCAGTGAAATGGGGCTCTAATAAGAAAAGCAAGACTGTTAACATTCACACTTAATTTTAAACATTCACTTTTAAAAGAAAAAGGCACTATTAAAATTATTAGGATTTTATAACAATACCAAAGGCCTGGTACATGTAATTTGTGCACTGGCGGGGTGGGGGGGGGCGGGAAGGGGGGTTGTGGTCCTCAGCCCGGCCTGTGCCCTCTCACAGTCCGGGAGCCCTCAGGGATGTCCAACTGATGGCTTAGGCCTACTCCCCATGGACATCCTTAGCGCTGCCGTGGAGGTGGGAGAGGCTCCTGCCACTGTTGCTGCACTCACCAGCCGTGAGCCTGGCTTCTGGCTGACAAGAGCTTCCCCCTATGGGAGCGCACTGACCACTAGGGGGCAGCTCCTGCATTAAGCATCTGACCCCTGGTAGTCAGTGCGCATCATAGCGACTGGTCATTCCACTGTTCAGTTGATTTGCATATTAGCCTTTTATTATATAGGATTACTTTACAATAATTGTCTGATCACAGATGAACTAACCTCAGGGAGAAGGCAGGGGAGGAGGGGTTAGAGATCAACCAAAGGACTTGTATGTATGCATATTAGCATGACCAATGGACACAGACACTGGGGCAGTGGGGGCTTGCCCTCAGAGGTGGGGTGTTAATCAGGGGAAAAGGAGACATGTAATACTTTAAACAATAAAAGTACTTGGATTTTGTTTTTGTTTTTTTTAAAAAAAGATTAACTTTTTTAAGTTTATCTTTCCTACAACCAACATTTTTTGAGCCTGACATTAAATTAAGACATAGTTCCCAGCTGGGCTCCACATTTTGCTTGGAATAAAGTACCATATAGCCTACTACCTAACCTGCCATTTTTTTTTGCATGTATACTTTCAGATAGTAGAAAAGTAAGTTTTATAAAAGGACACAAAAGTGATATGGGCTTTAGTATCAATAACCACTAGAAGCTATGAGTATTGCAATATAATTTTAATAGCATAACTTTTAATCACACACTGTGTAGAACTATGAATGTTTCACTAGCATAATTTGCTACAATTTCTATTATGTACCACAGACTTGAATATTATAAACATGTTTATACTCTTAAAATAAAATATTAAATTAGATACTCAAGAATTTTCTTACTACATGTAACTTTGTATATGTGCCTTCATTATTTGTATAAATTGTTGCAACTTTTCAAAATTTCAGGCACATCCACATTCAAACATGAGATACAAAATGTATTCTAAATTCAAGTGAGTAAAACTTTTCAGTATATCTGAGCATTGTTCACACTATATATCTCAAAATAAAGATATATATACATTTATGCAATAATATTTCATATGTAGGAATATTACAAATCAACTACTTGGTTTTAAGTTCTTAATATAGAGTTATAATTTAAAAGAAATTATTTGTATTAAAATTGTTTTAGAGTTAAGTATAAGTTTCTGTTGGATTGATAGATGAAATCAGAGACAAAGACACATTGATAAACAAGATTCCCTCAGACCTTCCCTTAAGGAATTTAAAAATTAAGGGATAACTCAGAAAAGTAAAAAATACAGTGAAAGCCTTAAAGAGGATAACAGGGTTCTATGAGAACTCATAGGAGATACTCAAATGCCTAATTAATAAATACTCACATAAACTTTCATCTGCATATTCAGTACATTTCTCACTTCTTTTTTTTTTTACATTTCTCACTTCTGAACATACTACTACTTGATAAAAAATTACTTAAAGTATACTTAAGACTTACATATTATTTCTCATAAGTGCATGGTATAAATTATTATTTTTGAGGGTAAGCAGAGACGCAGAAAAGAATGCAAAAGGAAAATTAAAATACTGCATTTAGCTACCTGTCTCTCTTTTATTTGGTACAACTAAAATACTTTAACAGTTATTGAGTTACTATTCTTTGCCAGACAATGTGATGAAAACATTCCTTCCCTCATTTAATCCTCTCAACCCTATTAAAGTACTTTCCACGAATTTTATTTTATGTTTCCCATCACCTTTTATCCCCTCTATCCCTCTATCACCCCCTCCCGTCCCCCTCCACTCCCGCCATTGCTCAGCTTTTAGATGTGGAAACCAGGGCTTACAGTGGTCAGAGAACTTGCCCAAAGTCAAAGCCAGAAGCTAAGCTTGTAACAGCTGCAAATAGACCTGACAATGTGAGGGGAAACCAGAAAGCACAGAACAGTGAGTTGGGGACATTGGTGGAGAGTAAGGGGAGGCAGGCAAGTTCAGTTATACACTTTTAAGCTATTTGTTCCCACAGATCGTTGAAGAGCCTGGCTCTGTAAAACATTCTGCACACATAAGACTCTGCAAATCCTTCTAGCACCTGAAAATTCATATAAAATGAAGAGCACCTACTATGAATATTCAAGAGTGTCCCAACATAGTGAAGGCAAATTGCATAATTATGTATCTAATTATTTACATCAAGCTATGTGTTTTATATAATAACCATGTAAGACACTAACTAGTGCATTTGTAAGTTGAACTCTAATTTTAAACGGGGCTTGTATGTGATTATTTTTATGATGGTATCAGATTCCCCAAAATATTCTTTTGCTTTGATATCTACATCTCAAATTTATGGCTTCCTATTATAAAATTTTATCTAGGTATTGCTGATGTGCCTTGAATTTACTATATTAAACAATCTTTATGTTAGTACTTTAGTACTCATAAAAAAAGCTAAGCCTTAAAGTGAGACAAATATCTGTTCAACAGAATTGCTTTCTCTGCTGAAATCAATTAATTACATAAAATACACTTATCAAAGTAGGATGAAGAACATAATTCCATGTTTGAAGGAGACCCTAAAACTACAATTCAGATTTTTAAAAAGTATAACCTAAAAATTATTCAATAACTCCAGGTGTATTTTCTAGAAATTAATTTTAATTATTTAATTCCTGTAGTGATATTTAATTTAATATGATTAATTAAATAAGAAAAATCTCACTCTTGAACTTAGTGGGGAAACATGTTCTCATTTGGTTTACAGGCTTTATTGAAGAGTGTTTTAAGAAAGGTGCAGTACACAAAACTAACTAAAATTAACTACTGTTTTCTAGAGATGCAGGGGAGTCAACTTATAAGGACATAAATTTACTTAAATTTAGCACCATTTATACACACTTAAAAAACCTGATGGTACCATTTTTTTTTAAAAAAAATAGCTTATTTTCTACGATCTAGTTTCATTTCTTTATATAGTGCAAAAACATATACCCCAGAAAAGAATAAGATTACACATGTGTCCACATGCATAATAAAGAGGCTTAACTATATTACAATTTCTTTTTAAAATGAAGACAATTCAAAGGAGGAGAAAATCCTGAATTTGGTTAAGTAATTGAAGTAACCGTAAGAGAGAGTCACCAGCACATTCTTACAGAGGCCCAGCACGGGTGTGATAGTCCCCAGGTCGATGATTAAGCCAAGTCTGACAAAAATGAAGGGTAAATCCTGGAGCAGGACGCCCAGGGAATTCAGCAGGGGGTTCTGGGGCGTGAATATAATGCGAAGGAGCGAGATGAAACTGAACAGATAGACCGGGTAGAGCCAGGCTGACTTGTACACCGCTTGGTGGCCGGCCACACGCACCATCTCGATGGTGTCAGACCAGAGCACAAAGCTCCACAGGAAAATCTCCGCGCGAGCGTCCCGCCGGGACATGGCTCTCAGGACTGGGGACTGGAAGTCGAGCTCCTGGGCTCCGGCCTCTGCAGGGGCCGGGCTCTGCGCTGTGGCTGCCGGGGCCGGGGCCAGGGCCAGGGCCGGGGCCTTGGTCCTCGGGGCTGGCTGGGGAGTCGCAGGGTTTCCTTCATTTGGCCTCACTTGATCCGTCACGGTTCTTATGCGTTGCAACGTGGTGGCACGGATGTGCGTATCTTCATTACCTGCAACAGGTTTATATTACTTGTTTTACATTTTAACGTTTATGTAACTTGAAACAGTTTTATTTTTTAAATGGAAAAATAAAATTGTAAGTAATCTCTTACTTGAGATCTGTTTTACACATCGAATTTCAAGATAGCAATGGGTCGCATATGGAAAAAAAATAGGCAAAATTCATGTCCTTGGATCCTGGCTGTGGATCCTAAGTCATGTTTACCATTTCACAGCAAGAGCCATTATTGGTGACTAAGCTAAGCATTTTCACATCTTCTCTCAGTAAATCCTCAGGGAAGTTGAGAGATAGAGATCACTGTCCCATTTTCCCATTTTATAAACATGGAAGGGGGGTGGGGGAGAGGTAGAATAACACCTAAATTCAATTACACAGTAATGAGTGAGCAGAGCTGAATCCACACCCGGACTTGTCGGACCCCAACTGACAAACTCTTAACTTTATGGCGGCTATTACCTACCTAGAGGCCACATATCATGTGCTAACTATAAGCACACAGATATCATAAAAGCAGAGGAATCTGGCTAAGTGGTGGAATCAAAGTACAATGGTCCAGTCTAGTCCTTTAATAAGAGGCCCACAGAATTCTCTACAACCCGGATCTTCAGGCTCGGAGTTTGGTGCTCTTTAACCATGAGCAAGTCTTAGTGATGGGTGACATTCTGAATCCAAGATTTTTAAACCTATATTCTCTGGGCTGTTCTTTACATCCCCATGAATATTTTGAAACTAATACAAACTAATATTGAATGCAAACTGTAATTACAAAATAAACTTTTTAAAAAAGGTTTGAAACCTGTTTTTCCCCAAAGTTTTTGAACATTGGTTAGACTAAAAGCATCTTATTTGTGGCCACAGACTATGCCTGGTCAACATACCAGTCATCTAAATGAGTACGGCATTTTCTCATCAACATTACATTGTGTGTGTGTGTGTGTGTGTGTGTGCACGCGCGCGCATGTGCACACCTCTCTGTGTTCACGTGGGTGTTGAGGTTGGGGGATTATGAAGAGATCCTCAAATCTCAAGACTTACTAACAATGTTGATGGTATGGTTTTTATACATGAAAAAGGTATAGCACGTTATTTTTTAAGCATTTATCCACTTAAGCGTCATTTTTGTTGCTGAGAATTTATCAGGCCTTAACAAAGTTTACTCTGAATATTCTGAGCTTCCATATTACTTGATAAAATAAAATTTAAAGGGAGTCATTAGATTGAATATCTATAAAAGTTAAAGAAACAAAATCAATAAAAATATGTTGAAATATATTGAGCTAAAGTAAAACACTTTAAATTATTGTGATTAAAGATTAATAAAATGTTTGATTACTGTATTTAGGTACTGTTTAAATGACAAATAAATCTGTTTTCTTTTTATACTATTAACTATTTAAATTTTTTAACTGTGGGTTGAGTATATTTATGAACCAAAAAGATAATCTAAATTATTGATGAAATATTACTTACTTCTGGTATGAATCATTCATAAATAAATGCAGGATCCATGACACTTAGAAACTTCTTTACCAACCTTCACTGTCACCATAGCATGAATGAGTATCATTTTAATAAATAATACTCAAGTAAGAGAGAAAATTATATACTAATTATATAATTACATACTAATTATATACTAATTTGAGGCCTGGTGCACAAAATTCATACACTTAAGGGGGTGGTCCCTCAGCCCGGCCTGCGCCCTTTTGCAGTCTGGGACCCTTCAGGGGATGTCTGCCTGCTGGTTTAGGCCCATTCCCTGGGCCTAATCCAGCAGTCAGACATCTTTCTCGCAGTCCGGGACTCTCATAGTCTGAGACCCCTCGCTCCTTACCGCCCGCCTACAGCGGAGGCAGGAGAGGCTCCCGCCACCGCTGCTGCGCTCACCAGCCGTGAGCTGCGCTCCCCCTGTGGGAGCACACTGACCACTAGGGGGCAGCTCCTGCATTGAGCGTCTTCCCCCTAGTGGTCAGTGCACATCATAGCAACCAGTCGTTCGGCCATTTGGTCGATTTGCATATTAGGGTTTTATTATACTAGTATAGGATTATTATTATTTTAATGTTCATAAAATCATCCCTTTTTAAAATCAGATGCCCACTGGCATACAAGCTCTCATTTTACAAAAAAGATATCAATATAAAAAATGTTACTTAGGGTATGTCATGTCCTAGAGAACTCTCCTTCACCTCTCTTAGAAGATAAAGCTGTTTGAGGAAAAGCCAAATTCCTTTTTCAACATGTAGAAGACTGTGTATAATTTGGGCTTTGGAAGATGATTGCCAATTCAGCATTGTTTCAACACCAGGAAGTGGCAATCTAAGAAGTGACACATTAACACTTTTAAACAGTCAGTAAGAATCTGAATATCTGTAGATGTGAGCTGTTGGATGCACAATGAATTCTTAGCCAGAGTTAATTCTTAATGAAATGCTAAAGCCCCAATCCATGTATGTTTGGTGAAATATGAGCCTGGAGCTTCCTATCTCTCCACAGTTCCATAGAGGCCGGTTTAGGTTTGGGGATACAAGGACTCTGCTGTCCTCTTTCCAAGAGAGAAGCACTAGAGTTATTAGCTGGAAAGCTTTACCGGCCTCACAGAGGTTATGATAAAGTTGAACAAATCAAGAAATCACTTGGTCATTAGAATGGACCAGCAAATTTATCCCCAGGCAATGTAAACTTCCATGTATTTAATACTATTCTCCTTGGCTCCATGATTAGTTTCCCTCTGAATTACTTTTTTTTTTTAAAGTTCCACTTACAGCTGGAATTCATTGTATGATTATTGTTAGCTGTTAGTGTTCTGTTTGGGTAAAGCAATGTTGCTTTGTGCAAAACCCATAGAAGACATCAGCATGAAGAAAGAGATCCACTCGCTCCCTTCGAGGTTCACATTGCCCAATGAAAACTAAAAACAGCAGCCATTCTGTGTAGTTCCTCACACAGGGTGCCAGTTGACAAAACAACTGTGTGCCTTCACTCTGCAAGCTAAACAATTAAGGAAATGTAATTTTGAGGCAACAGATAAATGTTTAAGTAGGAAACTCATATCTATTTTACTCTATTATTTCTATAAATGAGTTATTTCTCTCTAACTTGTTTCCCAGAAGTTTTAGGTGGCTTACAGGGGAAACACAAGCACAACATAACAAGTAAGTAGTGAGGAATTTTCTAGAGTGAGTATGTATTCTTCTTGTAAAAATAAAAAAAAGGAGCCCTAGCTAGTTTGCTCAGTGGTTAGAGTGTCAGCCTTTAGACTGAAGGGTCTCAGGTTCAATTCCAGTCAAGGACATGTGCTTCGGTTGCAGGCTTGATCCCTGGCCCCAGTCGGGGCATGTGCAGAAGTGCAGGAGGCAACCAATCAATGTGTCTCTCTCACATAGCTCTTTCTCTCTCAGTCTCTCCCGCTCCCTTCCACTCTCTCTAAAAATCAATGGAAAAAAATATCCTCAGGTGAGGATTAACACACACACACACACACACACACACACACAGGAATAAAAGAGAAGAATCTCAAGGAAAAGTACCTAAAATCAAGACAGAAATGAAGCTGATACTAAGAAGGCGGTGTTTAGGCTCGCATCTGATATGAGCAGACAGATTGCAGTGCTGTACCAAGCTTAGGCTGGGCATTGATAATGATGTAGCAAGCAATGTGGAAACAGTCCCTGCCTCCACCACTCTGTCTCCTGTGATCACGTCGATAAACTCAGCATAAATTGTGGCAGGACTTTAAAAGGGATGTCGGTTCTGTGATGAGACACTATCACAGGGGGTCTGAATTAGACAGGGTGTCAGAAGGCTCACCTGAGAAGTGACAGTCAAGCAGAGACATGAAGAATAAGTAGGAATGGGGTGAAGAATTGAGAAAGGAACTTTTCAGGCAGTAGGAAGAGCTTATGTAAATATCTTTCACATAGAATGATTGAATGAGAGTTTGGAGAGGGGCTGGAGCAGCACAGAGGAGCTAATATTTAAGTTTTCTATATACCAACACTGTTCTAAGCCCTTTCTATGCATTAATTCTCCTAATCTTTATGAAAACTCTATGATGTAGATACTATATTTTCCCATCTTAAAGATCAGTAAACTGAGGCATGGAGAAATTAACAATTGTTCCCAAGGTCACAAAACTGGCAAGTAGAGAGACTGGACTGTGAACCTCAAACATTTAACTACTCGACCACACTGGCTGTGGCTGAGTCAGATTTTGTAGACCCTTAAGGCCATGATAAAGTTTTTGTATTTTATTCTAAGCTCCATGGAGAACCACTGAAGATAAGGAGAACAGAAGTAAGGGGAGCCAGGGAAGCCATGGTGAAGTCAGCAAAGAGGCTCTTGAGGTAGCCGAGGGAGTTGATAAGAAATTGTTACTCAGTTCATAACAACTAGAAGATCAAATTATAGAATTACTCAGAAAAATTCTGGCTATTTTTTATTAAAAGTACCCCATATCCATTTTTTTCTGAGAGGAAAATGTTCCAGAGAAAGTTAAATGCTAATGATTTAGACATAAGGGGGAAATTCTACAAATCAGGGCTTTCTTTCTGTCTAGAGCAGCGGTTCTCAACCTGTGGGTCGTGACCCCTTTGGGGGTCGAATGACCTTTCACAGGGGTCGCCTAAGACCATCAGAAAACACATATAGCATATCAAATATTTACATTATGATTCATAACAGTAGCAAAATTATAGTTATGAAGTAGCAACGAAAATAATTTTATGGTTGGGGGTCACCACAACATGAGGAACTGTATTAAAGGGTCACAGCATTAGGAAGGTTGAGAACCACTGGTCTAGAGAGACAGTTGTTTACTAGTAAGTATTGACCAAACACTGCTGCTTGTGTTCAAAATTAGAGGCAAGTGTTCACCAATCCTATATAATAAAAGCTTAATATGCTAAGTGTCCGACCCTTCAACTTTTTGACCAGTCGCTATGACATGCACTGACCACCAGGGGGCAGACGCTTCGACCTGTAAGTTAG